CACCTTCCGAGGCCTCCAGTGCACACACAGCCTGGCGGGTAAGGAGGGCCCTGTTTGTTTGGGGGCTGGGAGCTGGGGGCTCCGAGTGAACCCTGAACCTGTCCATCTCCAGACTGCAAGTGCACCTACCAGAACACGACCTACAACTACGGGGACGTCATCTACAACACGACTGACGGGCTGGGCGCCTGCTTGATTGCTGTCTGTGGAGACAATGGGACGATCACCCGGGAAGCCGTGAGGTGTCTTGGAACCCCGTCCACGACACCCTTCACCTTCACCAGCATCACCTCCACCCCCACCCCCATCACCACCACCAGCATCACCTCCACATTCACCCCCGCCTCCACCCCCTCCACCACTACCCCCACCAGCATCACCTCCACCTCCACCCCACCCCCACGAGCATCACCACCACCAGCATCACCTCCACATCCACCCCCACCACCAGCATCACCCCCAGCATCTCCACCACCCCCAGCCCCACTCCCACAACCAGCATCACCACCACACCCACTCCCAACCCTACCCCAATCACCACCACCAGCATCACCTCCACATTCACCCCCACTCCCTCCACCACCACCCACATACCCACTACCACCCCTAGCCCCACCCGCACCTCCACCCCCATCCCCACGAGCATCACCACCGCCACCATCACCTCCACATCCACCCCCACCACCAGCATCACCCCCAGCATCTCCACCACCCATAGCCCCACCTCCACCACTGGCATCATCACCACACCCAACCTCACCTCCACCCCTACCTCCACCTCCATTCCCTCCACCATCCACACTCCCACCATCAGCATCACCCCACCCCACCCCCATCATCACCACCAGCATCACCACCACTCGAGCCCCCACCCCCACCTCCACCCCCATCAGCTTCACCTCCACACACCCCCCCACCTCTACCACCACCACCACCATCACTGCCACCCCTACCCCTAGCCACAGTCAGGGCACAACCAGCTGTCAACCCAAGTGTCAGTGGACAGAATGGTTCGATGTGGACTTCCCAACCTCGGGGATCCCAGGTGGAGACATGGAGACCTATGAAAATATTAGGGCTGCGGGCGGCAAGATGTGCAGGGAGCCAAAGAAGATCGAGTGCCGGGCGGAGAGATTCCCCGAGGTGAGCCTGGACCAGCTCGGGCAGGTGGTAACCTGCAGCCTGCAGGCCGGGCTAGTCTGCTGGAATGACGACCAGACGGCACCGTTCAACACTTGCTTCAACTACAACATCCGCCTGCTCTGCTGTGACGACATCCGGCACTGCCCCAGCACGGCCACCCCTGGCCTCAGCTCAGCTCCCAGCCCCACCCACAGCAGCACTGCCACCTGGGGCTCCAGACTGACACTGTCACCACCATCAACCTCAGCCACCACCGAGACCCAGACC